ATATGGGTATTAGCTGAGAAAAAATTGCTTTGGCCATCTCTATCACTTATTCTTTGGTGTTAAAATATTTTTTCTGATAATGTGTAAATTGAACAAGGACATTCAATCTGGGAAGTACTGTTCTAAACTTAAAAGTATTCCTATCAGATATTTGTCTTCTAAAAGAAGGAAATTTTGTGTCCGATCTATGTTATATTCTAGGAGAGAATTATTACTGGAGTTGGGAAACTAATTTTAATGCTCTGCTTACATTTAATGATAAGCCAAATTTTTCAGTTATTTTTATTTTCTGTAAACAGTGTACCAGTACATATAGCTCATTAACTCCACTATTATGTGAACAAATGAAACAGGCATAAATAATTGTGAATTACAAATAAGTCAAGGTTCTCTTTCAGGAATAAATCTATGTTGTTTGTTGGTTTACAATCCTAGTTAATTTGTGAGTAACTATCTAAGATTCTTGGCTTCAGTTTCATACAAAATTCTGCTTTTTTTCTTGCGCAAAGGGAAGAAGAAAGCAAGATGAAACAAATGAATAGGCTAGAAATTGCTGGTTTTCTGAAAATAAATTGGTTTATTGTTATAAGCAAATATTTCCATATGCAGCTTCATTCTACTCAGTTGCATTCCTTATGTTCTATTTCTAAATAGAGTGAAGAATTTCCTGCCTTAGTGAGAGGCATTTGAAAACTATTGAATTATCTCCCCTCTCCATCTATCTTCAGATCATTTGTCATTAGCTCTTTGAAAATGTCCTTATGGTTGTGGTTTTTAGATAATTTGTTTTTGCAATTAAGCATACTTTTATTCCGGAACAGATTACTGCAGGTGACATTTTGTTAGCGTTAGTGTGCTGTGATTTACGCAGCTTAAGAGCCATTGATCTTCTGAGCATTACCAATGAAATTTTATTTATGATCAGCTGTAAAAAAATTCCTCATCAGAAGCTGTGCCAATAGTTAGTGTATTGTATGTTAAAAGTGTTGGAAACATTCAAACATAAATTAATCTGTGGGGTTTAGGGAATTGTGTTTGGACAAGCATGCTGCCAATTCAAATTATATCAAACAATTGTTAATATAGATAAATATTCGTTTATTGAGTTTATACATAAGAATGATTGATGATATAGTGTGTGACAGTGGACAGTGGACAGTGGTGATTGGCACTTAACATACTACTGTGGAAGAGTTGAGGATCTTTTAAAGTAGCAATGATGTTTATTATGTAGCTAAATTAAAGTCTTTTTGATGTGAAATTGATAATATTGCTATAAAGGAAACATAAAAATTAAACTGACTATTGATCTGAATCTGGAAAGAAACTAGTTTCTCCCTGACGTTGGTCTGCCCTAGGTGATTAGTGGGTCCAGTCGGGGTTCAGACTGAATTTGGGGGTTGTTCCTGAGATTCTGATGCATAGTCTTACAAAAGTTCTGGTGGCTGCCTGGAATTATTGTCCTTTGGACTGAAAGCTCCTGTTTGAGGAACAGGTAACAGTCATAGCTAAGAAGTCCTTTGCACAACTAATTATGTGTCAGTTGTGCCCATTCCTGAATTAGAAGGTCCTGCTCAGACTCATTAATGACCTCCTAGTTGAACTGATGAAGTGTGCCCTTGAAGACCATTTGGAAGCTACAGCTAGCACAGGATTTCCATGTTACATGGAAAAAGAGATAACAGATGTCCAAGCTGGTTTCAGAAAATGCCAAAGAACATGAGACACTATTGATGTTGCATGCTGCATAATTGAGAAAGCCAAGTAATAAAAAAAAAGTTACTATGTGCTCCATTGATTGTAGAAAGCTGTGGAATGTGCTTAGAAAAATGGGAATCCCAGAACATCTTATTGTCTCAATAAGAAACTTATAATACAGATCAAAACATCCACAAACAGACAGAACAGGGCAAGATGACAATGGCAAAGAATTTGGGGGGAAGAAAAGCTTGTTTCCATCGATTGAGGCTTCTTAAAATGTGGTCAATTCAATTATTTGTAATGAATGTTTTATGAGGTACTTTTTATGTATCAAAACTGGAGGAAAGGGGTTTGTCACAAATAAAAAGACAAGAGGCTCTGATGTTTCTTAAGGTACTGGAGACATAGTCATGGTGGCTACCCAAGATATCCATCTGATTATTGCTAATTTCCTTTTCTTACGATTTTTCTGGTTTTGCTGGATTTTCAGTGTTATCAAATTTATGCTGTGCATTAATGCAGAGGCATTAAGAGTCTTAACGTACATTCACACATTCATTACTTTGAGTCAAATTTAGCTCCTGGTGACTTAATGGACACATCCATGCTGTCTTCTTGCCAAGAATGTAGAGGTTATTGGCCACTGCATTCTTCTGGCTTCTTTTTACAGTGTTCCAGTCTAATTGACAGCTGTTGACTTCAGTGGTGATCTTTCATCTAAATCCTACTGGAAAAGGAAAGCTCATGGGGGCTACATTTCTGAAAATGTACTCATTTGACATTCTTAAACTCCTAAAGACAAGAGGTGGCTATCATATATCTGCAGCACTCGTATCATTAGAAGCCAAGCCAGTAGCACAACTTTGCGGTGCCTAGTAGAACCCCTTCTTCAACTGTGTACCATTGCAACTTTTATAATCCAAATTTCTTAGATCAGCTCATCAAGTTCCAAAATGTGTTTATAATACCACCCAGTGACTAGAGTCAGGCTTCATGAAAGTGAGAGTAGAGTGTGGATGATCATACTGAAGTATTGGCTCAGACTGTGCTTTTTTTCCCTTTGGCCTTGCCCCATGAGTGATAATTTTTAGTGTGCATGAAAACAGGAAGTGGCAACTGAAAACTCATCCATAGGCTTCTCTTTAGGCCTTCTACTCAGCATGGGAAATGATCAGGCCAAAGCACTCATTAAACAGCATGTAGCAGAAACAGAGCACCAATTGGATCAAGTCAAGACCCAATATTTATTTGCTATTGAATCCCAACAGGTACTCTGCTTCCCTTATGGCACCTAACTAAACATAAAGTATCTAAACTTTGTGTTGTGTGTCAACTTTGCCCTTTTCTGGATCATGAGACCCTGTGCTCACTCACTCATACCCTGGTCATCTCTCATTTGAATTTTGCAACATGTGCTAAATGGATCTATTCATTAAGTGTATTTGGAAACTACTAATTCGACTTTATTGTAAGGCTATATTAACAGAATCTTGTAAATTTGAAGGCACAAATTTCTCATCTCCACTTTTTAGTGCTTCATCCACTTGTGTGAGTCCTTCCTAAGTTTATTTCTTTGACGGTTGAGTGATTGCTGGCTCCTGCCTCTCTTGTCTGATTGTTATCTAGGCAGCTTCTTCTTCCCCCAAAGTCCATTATAATTGGACTGATAAAGGAAGATTTCTTCTCCAGAAAGACAATGCCCCTATGACTCTGGATACACAGAAACAACACTGTATATTTTCAGACCTGTACAAGTAGTCTTTGACTTACGACCACAATTGAGCCCAAAATTTTCATTGTTAAGCAAGTTATTAAGTGTCTTGTTACATTTTGTCCCATTTTATGACTTTCTTGCCACAGTTGTCAAGTGAATCACTGTAGTTATTAAGTTACTAACAAGCAAAGTCAATAGGGAAGCCAAATTCACTTAACATAGTTGTTCAGTGAATTTGGCATCCCTATTGACTTTGCTTGAGAGAAGGTCACAAAAGTTGATCACATGATCTGGGACACTGCAAATGTTATAAATATGAGTCAGTTGCCAAGCTGACAGTTGACCAGGCGGATGCTGCAGTGGTCATATAAAAAACAATCATAAGTCAATTTTTTTCAGTGCCGTTGTAATTTTGAATGGTCACTAAATGAATTGTTGTAACTTGAGGACTACCTGTAATACGTTTGTACTAGCCTTGTCTCACATAGGACAATTCTACACAACCCTGCTTAAAATTTGTCAGATTAACTAGTTTAATGAATATCTAGCTAGCCATACTAGAGAGCTCTGTAATTTGGGAGATATAGTCTAACAAGCTTTCATGCATGGGAAATGGCCTGAATAATTATTTGCAATGCAAAACATGAATCTGTATTGTTTAATGGAGTAGATTGCTAATATTTGCTATTTGCAGGTTGAGTGGGTGGGTGTCATGCCCCTGGTGGAGTCTGACTCTGAGGAAGAGGAGTGGGAGTGTGGCTCCAGAGGTGGTGGAGGAGGCTGGGGAAGGGCAGAGGCCGGCTGAGCAGTCAGAGGAGGATCTAGGCCCATCCCCTATCCATCCTAGGTCACGCAGGGAGGAGAGGATCAGGGAAAAGCAAGGTCTACTCAAGAGGAGATTACCATGATCCTCCTCGTGGCTTGCAGGTGGGAGCTATGTATATAAGTTTGCAACTGCTCAGTTAGAATTGCTGAAGTCAATTAGTGTTTACCTTGAAAGAGGTTTATCTTTGCTGGCGTTCTTCTCATGGACTTTTCTCAGTTATTTTCCTGGAGTTTATAATTAGTTATCTCGGCTTGCTTTAGAACTCTCATCAATGCAGTTTGTTTTGGTTTTCCTGTTTGCCTCATTATTTACTTTTGTGACTTTAAACTGTGCCTAATAAAACAGTGAAGTTAAGTTGAAGGCTTTACCGGACTTTAATATATGTTTTGGGTTTTGGGTTATTTTGAAAGACTACGGGTCATCACAGTGGGGATAGGAGAAAAGAAAAGTAAGAAAACTTCTGAGCAAATTAGTAAATTGTTTTGTTCATGTTGCAACTTCTAGATGTTTACTTTTTTGTCTTTTTCCATTTATATGTTAATTTAAATACTGTATCACAATTGTTTATCGGTTTGTTTAATATATCAGAAGTATTTGGACTTCTTCAGTCTGTGTTTAAAACAGAAAAGTGAAGTCTTTATATGGCCTCTTTATATGGCTTCTAAATGCTGCCATAATATTGATAAAATATTAGTAGCTGAAATGTTACTGTAGCTGCAGATAACTTAATGATTATGGTACACCTTTTTATATTTTTAGGACAGGAAGCTGACCAAAGCAGAACAGCAGAGGTTTAAAGAAGAAGCTGAAATGCTGAAGGGGCTACAACACCCCAACATTGTCCGATTTTATGATTCTTGGGAATCAACGGTTAAGGGAAAGAAGTGTATTGTTTTGGTAACTGAACTGATGACATCTGGAACACTGAAAACGTATGTATTTCCTGATTTTCTCATTAACAAAACAAATATTTGCAGAATGTTTTTGAACATTGTTTACAATTGCCAGTAGTGTTCTGGACACTAACCATATTGTTGTTGAATTATCAGTTAGGCAGCTCAGTATCTACAACATGCAGCAAACAATTAGGTCACTTTATGGTTCTTCTAAAATATATCAAAATATCCAGCTGACTGAATTGTAGTTGTTTGCTATCTAACTTATATAAAATATGTTTCATGGAAGTACAGTGAGTTAAGAAGCATTAAGTTTAAATGCGGTATGAGTCAGTCAGTAATTAATTCTAAGATTTAATTTAATATATTTTAAGCCTACCTGATATGGTGAATGGAATAAATAAAACAATAATGGAGTATGATAAATTGTGAGCTAACACTTCTGTTTTATGATTGGTTCAGTTAGCAAGACTGGAGGGATGGATGGAAGCATTAGGAAAAAGCAGAGAAATTACTTGAATAGTATTTCATGGCAGCATTGAAGATGAAATATATATATATTTAAATGCTTTGGTGTTTCTAGAATTACTGTTTTCAAGCTGATTTATGTCTTAACATGTTTTTAATTTGCTGTGTTATGCTTAATTCACTGCTTCTAAATGATTCATAGTGATTTCAATGGATTGGTTATAGTCAAGAAAGAATTAAGATGTATTAGGATGATTATATTGCAAGTATAGAAGCCCATTAAGTAAGTAAAAATTCTTTATAAAATAGTGTTACAGATTACATGAAATTTATGCCACGAAATTTTGTCTTATGTTTCGTGGTTTTTCTTCCTTTTACCCAAATATTAGTAAAAATGAATTGATAACTTCTTGAATGTAAGAATATTCAGTAAGAGAAAAGATAAATAATAAATATTAAAATGTCAAATACTTTTATTCCTGCATTTGGTGTATTTAGAGTATCTACTAGCGCTATTGGTTTTCTTTGTGAAGAAGATATATTTGTAACTACTGTAGGAGGATTGTCATGATCAAGCATTACGTTGGGTTTTGAGGCTTTCCTATGAACTGCATAGCTCATGACCAAGTTTTTATATTAAACACATAAATCAACTAATCCCTTTTTGAAATTTAAAGCAGCATGGATTGGGATACAATTTGTATTGACAGAGTTTTAGGGGGGAAATTGTAATAAGATATTTCTTTTCTCTTTCTCTCAATCTATGTACTACTAAAACTCTGCTTTATGCTTGTAACTTTCAGTTAGGTAAAACAGTGCATTGTAGGCAACAATATTTGAATCAATATACCTCAAATGGACTAACTTTAAAAAATTCATCCAAACACTGGACTCCTGCGATTTAAATTTGGCAAAGTTGTGGCCTTTTCAGCACTGCCACACTGCTGTGGTCAGCTGTAATCACATGATTGTCATTTTCAGCTCTCTGCCAGCTTCCCACAAGGAAAGGTTGATAGGGAAGCCAACAGGAAGTCAAATGTAACTCCTGCTCCCATTGTTTTTTGTTTTGTTTTGTTTTGTTTTGCTCATCCATGGTTGTTCTGTTTCTCTGTTTAGCTTAGGAAAGCTAAACTAGTTTAATAATGATAACTTGGAATACAACTCAGGATTATGCAGTTCCTGAGATAAGAGAGTATAACATTTTATGGAACCTCTGAGGGTTGATCATGGTACATAGAATCTTGATTAACTTAAAACTATGTATTTATTTAATGCATAAATGCTTTTTGGCTTTCTCCAGTCATACTCATTTCTTTACAGGTATTTAAAGCGTTTCAAACTCATGAAGCCAAAGGTGTTGAGGAGCTGGTGCCGACAGATTTTAAAAGGGCTACATTTTCTGCACACAAGGACTCCTCCTATCATCCATCGTGATTTGAAATGTGACAATATCTTCATCACAGGACCTACTGGTTCAGTGAAGATAGGGGACTTGGGACTCGCTACCTTAATGCGCACTTCATTTGCGAAGAGTGTTATTGGTGAATATACCGTAAATGTGTTTGGTATTTCTATTGGGCAGCTGCTCTCTTTGTCTCTTTGCCATCTATAAAGACAGGAATCTGCAACGACATATAAGTCAAAGTTGCTTTACACTGTATAGTTATTAAAATATTCCAAAGTTAAAATAGATGTCAAAAGATACATCAAGCAACAGGAAATATAGTGATAGTGCCTTTAACCTGCAGTCACAATTTAAAGTATATAAAGAGCTTTTTCCAAGAGAAAATTCTCACCCTCACGTCTAATATAATAGATTAGCATAGTGTAACCACAAGGCACACTCAGTCTTAATTGGTCTATTTGGATTGTTTTCCTCTGAAGTACTTTTCTTTAATATATATATATATATATATATATATATTCTTAAGTTTTCGCGGGTACTTACATGTATGGTATTCAGCTTTGTTCAGGTGTTTTCCCACATCATTATAGTTGTGCTTTTAAAGTTGTAGCAACCTGAAAGCATGAATAGAAGAGATGATTCCACCAGACTGTCAATTATTTGGAAGCCTGCACTCACAAACAAAAAAATCTCCACACTACAAGCCAGGCAAACACCTACGCACAAACAGATCCCCCCTGATACCTCCAGCTCAAACACACCCCAACCAGGCACCCAGATGAAACCTAGCTTCCTAATAAATGACAGCCGTCCATTTACTCGGAGCCAAGCTGCACTAAAAGCCTCCAATACAGGAACACAATGTTGCCAGCCAATCAAGACAAAAAAAAGCCACAAAACAGACAGAAGATATTAGAAACACCAATCAAGCAGAACACAGCAAACTCCAAGACCAATAAACACAGACCAAGACTCCCTACCAATCAGGATGAAGAAAAAACCATTCTGGCACAGCAGTAGGCTAGTCCCAAATTTAAAACTGAAACGGCTGTGAAAGTCTGACTCACAGACGAACACAATACACAAGCCTGATGATGGCAGATGAGATTCTGCCGAAACGTTGCTACAACTTTAAAAGCACAACTACAATGACGTGGGAATATACCCGAACAAAGCTGAATTTATATATATATATATGTGTGTGTGTGTGTGTGTGTGTGTGTGTTTTCGGGTTTTTCTCCCGCGTAAGATTGGAAGTATTTAGGCAACGTACCTAACATGAAGAATGACACCAGACCCACACCCATGAGAGCCACACAAGATGCCACCACCACACTTCCACGTAGAAAGCAGACTCACACCCACACAGAAGATGAGACATGACCACGGACCAGAAGCCGCACTGCAGCTGCATCACTACCCACCTCAAACCCCTCCGAGCCATACATGAAGCGAACTGACACCCACCATGAAGATGCGGCATGACCATGAACTCGAAGCCAAACAGCAGGATCACAGCTCACCAGCTCAAATCCCCCAGCAACTAAGACTAACCTGAGCACAACCAAGTCCCCACCTGAACAGAACACGCCTCCAGCCAATCAGAACACGGCCAACCCCCCCAACCAATCAGAACACAGCCAAACCCCCAACCAATGAGAACACACCCCCACCCAATCAGAACACAGCCAAGCCCCCACCCAATCAAGTCACACCCCCACTAGCAGTTAAAAGGAAGAAGCAGCTGCAAGCTCACATCACTCTGAGAAGCACAGAGCCGAAGACACAAGCCTGAAGATGATGAATGAGACTTCATCGAAACGTTGCCTAGATACTTCCAATCTTACGCGGGAGAAAACCCGAATAACCAAAGATCCACATACAAATACCCGCGAGAACCTCAGAAAACACACACACACACACACACACACACACACACACATATATATATAAATCTATAATCTATATATAAATCTATAATCTATATATCTATATCTATATATCTATCTATAAATCTATATCTATCTATATCTGTCTGTCTGTCTGTCTGTCTGTCTATCTATCTGTCTATCTATCTATAAATCCTGCTTCAGCAACTGGTACTTCCTGTTTGCTTGTAGGTAAGAATCCATGCTTGGAAAACAAATTCATTATTAATATATTGAATATTACAACATAGAAATAAGCAACTCTTGGTAAATATTCATTGAGTGACCACAATCTAATGTGACTGTAATAACCCATTGGTTTTTCTTATCTTTTATTTCAGGAACTCCTGAATTCATGGCTCCTGAGATGTATGAAGAACATTATGATGAGTCAGTGGATGTCTATGCTTTTGGAATGTGCATGTTAGAGATGGCAACTTCTGAATACCCATATTCTGAATGTCAGAATGCAGCCCAGATCTACAGAAAAGTAACCAGTGTAGGTGCACAATTCACTTCTTCAAGAAGGCAAACCTGTATAAGATGGGCCTAAAGCAAATAAGCCTATTGTGCTAAACCTGTATTGGTCCTGTTGTCATGCAAAGCAGCTACCAGACTTATTCTAGTATTTTCTAGATTTTTCTAGATTTTGTTAGTTTGCTGTAGAGTAGATAATCTTTTCAGTTGTTTCACTCCCTGAAAAAATACAAATTGCTATTTGATAATCAAATGGCAGAATGTGCAAGTTAAGCTTGTATTTTTTAAATTTATTGTCCTGAGCCAAAATGGAACAGAAACAAACTACATTTCAAGCTTTTGTCTGGGCACCAATCATTGTTGCTCCCTTTTCTGAAAATTTACCAAATGCGTTCACTATTGAATCAACAACTAACCCCACAATTCTCTGCTTGTTCTTCTGCCAGCTGGCACAGATTCTTTCATGAAGAGATCTTGAGTAATAACCAAGGGCTTTGTTTCAGGCTTCATAATCTTCTCTGACTATTGTGTACATCTTATTTTACTGGTATAGTAATCAAAATGTACAAAATACAGTTATGAAACTGGACAAGGCAATTATTATAAAAACCAGTAGGATACTGCCTATTTTTTTCTGAATTGTTCCTCTATGTTGGTTTTATTTATTATATCTTGTTATGATATTTCCCAACTGGGTTTCTAAAGGAAACACTTTCAGGAAAATTCTATTAACAGACACTGTCTTGTGTACTCTGCTGAAACAGTCTCCTATACAGGTTGTGTTGTTCTACAATAATTTATTTCAGTGTGACCTATCAAAAAAACACACACCTTCCTGGTAGATTGTATTCCACAGGTTAGAATACCCTTTTCCTAATGTGCTGCTGTTAATGACTTTTGAATTCTTTTGAAACAGATGCCTTCTTTTTATTTCATGGTAGGGCTACTATTACTTTGTCTAATTGTGTACTGTATGAATATTTATTTATAACTGTATTTTATGTATGTGAGAAGTACATATGTAACTATTTCCAAAAAGTGATGGTCATATTATACCAGGGGTCCCCAATCCCTGAGCAGCGGACTGGTATAGTGGGTGAGCAAGCAAAGCTTTATCTGTGCATGCATCTGATCTAGGTTGCATGCAAAACCATCCCACCCCAATCCATGGAAGAGAGTTTTTCTTTCAAAACCAATCCCTGGTGCCAGAAAGGTTGGGGAGTGCTGTATTATACCATCACACTGGAATAACTACTCATCAGTACAATGGGCTTTTTTTTTTTTACATTTTCAATATTTGACAGGCAAAGACAATGTACTTTCAAATCATAATGCATATTTATCTGTTCTGGAAGGGCCATATGTATGCGCATACATATCTCCCACTCCCATGCAGGATTAAATACAGTTTTAAAAACCAAATGTATGAGAATTTTTCAGAAGGAATTAGTAAAAGCCATCAACTTAGAAAATAAGGGTAAATCATATTTAAAAAGATTCATCTTCCAAAAAATTCATATTAACAAAGATTCATATTCCAAAAGATTGAGAGCACTGCATTTATTTGGATCCTTTTCAATCAGATCTGATTTAAGAAATAATACCTGGCATTTAAAGGAAGGGAGTTATTGATTCAGGACAGACTGAAATGTTTTGTTTTAATATATGTACATACATGTGTGTGTGATAGCTAAAACTATTTCTACTATATTGGCTGCTTAGGCCTTGTATTTGTAACCTTGGGAATTTTCCATAATTCTGTACAACTGTAGAAGAGAAATCTCCAATGTAATTTTGTTAACAACTATGTCCCTTCTCTTCTAGGGCATTAAACCTGCTAGTTTTAATAAGGTGACAGACCCAGAAGTAAAAGAGATCATTGAATGTTGCATTCAGCAGAACAAGTCTGAAAGGTGGGCAGATCCATTTTTTGTCTCTCCTTACTTTGAATTGTGCAAATTAAGAGCTAGTATTTAAGTATTAATAGCTATTTGTTGTTACAGGGAAAAAATATCTGATTAAGCAAAACATTCATGCTTTAAACACCTGCATAAGTCCCTTTGAAGTCAAAAGGAATGAAGCTCATGAAGCCATATAGCAAATGAGATTTGCCTGGCTCATTTCCCAAAGGACTGTTAAGACATATATAACGAAAGTATTGCAGAAACATAGAATCAGTCAAAATGAAAATTCTTGATTTTCTCTAGTTTTTATACAGTGAAAAAATGATGGGATTCTACATTCCTCAAATTAATGCAAAAAGGAGTAAGGTTAGAAGATTAGATATTATGTTGGAATTTAAAATCTTATCCAGTTATCTTTTCCCTGTAACATACACAATGCCTACTTTAATCACTCCAAGGACTGTTACATTGGAGACCTGTTGCTTTAATTTATAAAGCCTTAGTAATAGAGAAGGAGATGCATGAAACATTAATCTACCTCTCCTCCCCCACACTCAGTAACTTGATCTCACTTCTCATGCCTCTCCCTAGCCTCACTCATGGTCAATAGCTCTCTTTCAACTTGGTCAGATGATGGCACATTAATAGTTCAAAAGTAGTCCACAATCCACTGTCTTTGAAAACTGTCCATGTACTTCTGGCTCAGCTTTATTATATCTGAAGCTTCACCATCCATCCTAGGCTTCAAAGTTTTTATCTTGAATGCTTTTCAGGTCTTTCTCAAAAAAAAAAGAGAGCTGATATTTGATCAGAAATTCACACATCATAGAATAAGAGATGAGTGAAGGAGGAGAATGGACAGATGGCTATTTCACCACTATTATCTGTCCACAGAGTGCCACCTGGAAGTCCTGATTAAGGTCACCTGGTCCTGCCTAAGGAAGAAGGGCTTGGATGAACATTTACTGGGCAGTGTGGCAGAATTTGTTGAGCACCTGATGCATAAAATCAATTCATTCTCAGTTGCAGCAAGTCCATTAGAGATGCTCAGGGAACAAACCTATCCAGTTATCTGGGAGAAGTTTGACCTTGTTGGATATGAGGAAGTGGACAAAGTCCTTGAGGCTGTTAGTGCCATTACTTGTTTATTAGATCCTTACCTAACCTGATTGGTAAAAGCTTTCAGAAGTGTGATTGCAGGTGGATCCAAGCAATAATTAATACATTGCTGCTGCAGGGTGTGTTCCCGGTACTATTTAAGGAAACCTTGATCTATCCCCACCTTAAGAAACCTTCACTGGATCCCACTTGTTTGAACAATTTCCATCCACTTTCCCTTGTCCCCTTTTTAGGGAAGCTGGTGGACAAAGTGATTGCCCTACAGCTTCAAAGGGTCCTGGATGAAACATTATCTGAACCCCTTTCAGTCAGGTTTCAGGTTTGATTATAGGACGGAGATGGCATGAGTTGCAGTTGGGGAGCAGAATGGGGTTACTGCATCCATCCTTGCTTTTCTCAATCATTCAGCAGCTTTCAGTAACAACTGTGGTATCTTTTTGGGCCAGCTGCAGGAGCTCAGGCTGAGCAGCACAGTATTACGCTGGTTCAACTCCTTTCTTCAAGTTGGTTCCAAACGGTGTTGAGTGAGAGGTCCAGTCCATGACTGTTCCTTTGCAGTGTACTATAAGGCTTGGTGCTCTCTCTGCATCTTTTTAACATCTACATGAAACCTCTGGGTGAGATCATCCAATACCATAGGGAAGAGGTATCATCAACATGCAGATGATATCCAACTTTATATTCCTCATCTCTGGTGACCCAAGTTATGTATTGTGGCTGCCCCCTTGTAATACCTGGAGGCTGTGGGGGTTTGGATGGGGGAAAACAGGCTTCAACTGAACCTGTTAAGACAGAGTGGTTGTGGGTTCAAGGGTGCTTGGGATCTGGGGGATTATCATGTTTAGTTCTTGATGAGTTTGCACTACCCCAGGCAGACTGGCATGCCATCTGGGGTTCTCCTAGACTTGTGACTCTTTCTTTATGAGTAGGTGACAGTTGAGCATGAGAGAGCCTTTTGCAACTTTGTGTTGTGTGCCAGTTGCACCCTTCCCTGGATTATGAGGCCCCATGTGCAGTCATTCATGTCCTGATCATCTCTCGGTTGGATTACTGAAACACACTCTACATAAGCTATCCTTGAAGAGCATTCAGAAACTACAAGTGGTACAGAATGCAAGCAGCACAGACACTTCTGGAAGCCCATTGAGTGGCGCATACGACAGCACTGTTGCACAAATTGCACTGGCTGCCCTTTGCTTCTGGGTTCAGTCCAAAGTCTCAGTCTTTAAAGCGTTGTATAGCATGGGTCCCGGGAATCTGAGGAGCCATCATACCATAATGGGATTCGCTTACCCTACTCATTCCAGGAGAAAAGGCCTACTTTGCATTCTGTCTTCCAAAGAATTTTGGCTGATGGGGTTCAGGAGAAGAGCCTTTTTTGCTGTGGTACCTGCCCTCTGGAATATTCTCTTGCTGGAGGTGAAATCTGTCCCCACACTCCTAGCATTGTGAAAAAGGCAAAAAACTTGGCTCTGCTGTTTCACTTGGGACTGGCCTCGACAGGGGATGGCTAACAGAGGTTGAGATTTTCTCTACCCCTAGGCTGCTCATCGCCTTGGTGTTTAGCTTTTCTATTTATCTCTCCTAATTTTAATTACGTTGTATTCCTTCTTTACTTTTTTAATATTGTAAACAGCCCAGAATTGCTGTATTTGTGAGAGGTTTTTCATAAAAAATTAATAAATAATCAATGGTGCAGTCTCTTCATCTTATTTTTGTTTGGCATAGAGTGGGATAATTTATGTTCTCCCTTTTCATGATGAACTGCTTTGAAGACATGGATCTTCTTCAGCTTGCTTTTGAGGTATTGGGGAGTAGAAGTGGCAATAGTATGGTGGAAGTGCCTTCTGACTCCAGGAGCTGTGGGACAAAAGGAAAATCCCTAAGAATTAGATGAAGGTACCCTTTTGTAAATGTGAGATGCTCCTGAAAAGCCTATCAAGGCTAGGAGAAAGCAGGAAAATATGTGGCATTTGTGTCCTTCCACCAATGCTTTTCTGGATCCAATTTTACTGCGATAAGCAAGTGGTGAATAGAGCAAAGATTGTCTAAGGTTCATTTGACTTCATCTGACTCTTCTTTTGAGTAAATGGTGTTCTCATCTGGGTTTGTTTTATTTGTATTTAAATTATTGCTTTAATTTCTCTTAAATCCTATTGGGGGAAGGATATTTGTTCCGAACGATAAAGTATAAATACTGTATATAAAATGATATTGGTACAGGTAGTCCTTGGCTTACGGCCACAATTGAGCCCCAAATTTCTGTTGCTAAGTGAGATGTTTGTTAAGTGAGTTTTGCCCCATTTTATGACCTTTCTTGCGATAGTTGTTAAGTGAATCACTGTAGTTGTTAATTTAAGTAACGTGGTTGTCAAGTGAATATGGTTTTCCCATTGAAGGTTCCAAAGACGAATACCTGACCCTGGGACACTGCAGCTGTCATAAATACGAGTCAGTTGGCAAGCGTCTGAACTTTGGTCACGTGACCATGGGGATGCTGCCATGGTCGTAAGTGTGAAAAAAAATGATCAAAAGTCATTTTTTTCAATGCCCTTGTAACTGTTGTAAGTCATGCTCTATCCGTATTATGTCAGTTTTGGAATATCTCTAAGGAAAGAATAATAATTTTGAAAAGAAACCCTCAGCAATTGCAGTAATACACATTGGGTATACCGAAGGCACATTCAGTCATCTTTCATAACTGTCTAACGTTAAATATATTCTGTTTCAGGCTATCCATCAAAGACCTCTTGAACCACGCTTTCTTTGCGGAAGACACGGGACTCAGAGTGGAGCTGGCAGAGGAAGAGGAGGATGGGATGCATTCCTCTTTGGCTTTGAGACTTTGGGTGGAAGATCCCAAGAAGCTGAAAGGGAAGCACAAAGACAACGAAGCAATAGAGTTCAGTTTCAACGTGGAAACAGATATCCCAGAGGAAGTGGCTTGCGAAATGGTGAGTATTATGGTCACTGCTTTGCTTCTTTCTGCAGCAATTTCTCTTGCCTTATGGTACATACTGTACGTCATGGGTGGGGGGAGTATTTATAAGTGTTACTCTCAAAATTGGGGAATCTCCATTTTATAAAAGAGCTATAGTTAGAAAACTGCTCCTAAAAACTGATGTAAAAGAGAGAAATGAAATTTGGATAAAAGTCATGGTGCAGGGGAAGGAAACTTACTCATCCTTGCTTCTTCCCTAACTTAATAGTTTTCTTCTCCTCCTTGTCAAGGCTACTATTCTAGTTTAACTGTAATTTTCTGTTTGCACATGAGAGAAGCAGGAAATATCCCCATTATCTCCTCTCTTTTTTTTTTGCAGACTGGAAGAATTACAAATAATTAAATTGATCCATTTTTATATATTTTTTCCTGCCTTTTGCAGTTTTATTATCTTTTAGCTTAGGGTTATAAGCAATCTAATTAATTATTATGGAAGGTAGTTTATAAATTATGGATAAATGAATAAATTAATTTAGATTCACAAAGATTTATCATGCTGAGGCTGCTAATTGTATTGTAATATCTAGAATACAAGTGCTCCACTCAATCTCCTATTTACTGATGCTTTGAGCTTTATTTACAAGGCGTGATTCTTTTAGGATACCTCATAGGTTAAGAAGGGCTGTGTTTCTTGTGTTCATGTATGTAACTTCTATTACAACTTTTAAACAAGAAGATAAAAGCTAACACAAACTTAGAAAGTATAAAAGAAAAAAGGGAAAGAAATAAAAGAAAATATAAAATGCAAGAAAATAAAAAAGATGAAGAAAAATAGAAAAGAAAGAAAGTAAAAATATAAGTGGCTTCCGATATTTGTCATAACAGTTATAAGTAAAATATTTTGACCTCCCTTCTAAGGTTATGTCATATTGCTCTTCTCTCTATAATCTATCCTGTTTAATCAACAAAACCATTATCATGTTCATTTTGGTCATTTTTACACAAAAAGTCCATAAGAGGCTTCCAGTGTAAATAAATAAATGTAATATTTTTTTCTAATCAAAGAAATTAATCCATCTGTCAATTTTACTAACCATTTCTTGATAATAGGTCTTTCAATCACTGCGCATATTGTAATTTTGGTACTATGATCATGTATTGTAATAATTTGCCATGTCTTTTTTTGTAACTGTTTATCCACTAACCCTAAAAGAAAAAAGTTTGAGCATTTCCAACATATGTTTGATGTCCCTTTATACTTCCTCAGGGAATTTCTCTGGCATCATGTATCAACAATACATCATTTTATAAGCATTCTTTTTGAGATCAAAACACACAATGTAAATTTCAACCCTTTTGACCATATATTTTCCCATTGTTCCATCTGTATATTATAATCAAATTTCTTAAATCCTGGAACATCAGCCTTTTATCTTTATCTGCCATTTCTGTTCTTAACTTATACCTTATAAGTTTCTTTTACAATCTTAACTCTCATAATTCACTGATCTTATCTCTGTTCAATACCTGAAGAGCTGAAATGAACAAAGTTGGAGACACTGGACATCCTTATCTTGCCTTTTTTGAATCTCATAAGGTTTTGTTAATTCCCATTAACAATTATTTGTGCTTTCTAAGAAGTATAAATCAACCTTACTCATTTAGTAAAAGTATATCTAAGGTTCATGTGTTCCAGAACACTAAACCAAAAATCCATTTCAAGGCCTTCTCTGCATCTAAGAATATCAGTGCAGCTTGTTTTTCATTATGTTACTCCAAATGTTTCTAAATGTTCGAAGTGTTTCTAGTATTATCTCTCAATTCTTTTTTTTAGGTAAAAAAAAATCTATAGAATTATTCTTAACCTTTCAGCCAAAATCATAATAAACAGTTTATAATAATTATTCAATAAACATATTGGTTGATTGTTTCTTGTTAAAGTCAAGTCTTATCCCTTTTTAGATATTCTTATATTAGCCTCCTTCCATCTATCAGGAATCTTTCCATATTGCAAAATAGTATTCATCATCTGTTGTAAAGTTTGTAAAAACTCATCTTCAAAACATTTGTAATAAGAGGCAGCAGCCCATATATATCAGATATCTTTCCTGTTTTAATCTTTGTGACAACTTTGCATAGTTCCCTTATTGGTCCATTCAAAATTTGTCTCTGATTGTTAATCTGTTAGTACAATATTCCTTTCTTGGAAGTTTAATATCAGTTCCTTTTTCTTTTCGCAGCTTGTATGCCAACCATCTCCTTGATTTATGTGGAAATTTAAATTTTATTTGTTTTGCATAGTTCATCTTTATTTCCATCTCTCTCACTGTTAACGTAGATAATTGCCTCTGCAAAAGCTTAATTTAATTAGTGATCATCCCTGGAGATTTAAAAAAAAAATTCACGCATTTTTGTCTTATCCAGAATCATTTGCATTTTCTCTTGCCTTTTCTTTAAGTTTCATTATTGGGTTGTAAAAAAATTACTTGCATCCCAGTCATCCTTCCTTCTCTACTTGTATTAAGATTATTCTCAAAACTTTCTACAGTCTTCCTCCATCATTTCTTTTAGCAATAACATTTCATTCAATCTGCACCTAAGAGACTGTTCCGATTCTCCTCAGTGAATAAATATTTTCCTCACCATGGCATTGAAGCCAAGCTAAGCTTTAGTCAAATCTTGGTTACAATGTTTTGAGGTTAAAATAAGTAAGAATACTGTATTGCTATGAACAGTCTCTACTTTCCTCTTTTTATGTTGTTTCTTTTCATCATCCTGTGCTTAAGAAAAGAAAAATGTGTTCAGACTGTAGATTCTTCATTTTGCCTCACTGTTGCCTTGGTTTTGTTTTTATAAAACATTTGGCCACAGAGGAATCTTGACAAATGACAGCTGATGTTACTGAAAGGAAACATGGCAATGCATTTGTTCATTTCATATAAAATATGTGCAGGCAGAAGGCTACTGCTTAAGCATCACCCACTCACCACCCAACTGTGAGGTTTTGTAAGTGGTACTGTGATCCCTTGTCTTATGGAATGGATCTTAAATGCATTTGTGGGGTCCCTTTTCTGTTTTTCTTTTTCTTTGGGGGTAGATTGGGTTTACAGACCTTGCTCAGCAGATGGCAGTTAAGACTCTGACCTTCAGTAGTTCCATTTAACGCAAGAGCAGTGCTTGAATGCTTTCTTTGATCTGTGTTTTCATGTTTAAGCCATTGTGCCCTAGTTTGCATGTAAAACCTGTAAATAATGGATTTGCAATAAGCTAAGAATAAACAAATGAATAACATAAGAAATTGCAAATGGATCATACCATTATGTAGGATCCTGGTGAATGTCTCAGAATTGCCTTATGAATATTTCAAATATGTGGCAATAATATTTGGCATGTTGCAGATGTTTTTGTGATATGCTAGGGTGGTCTATTCATTATACTTCTGTGGTGGTTGTAGAATGTATCATGTTCTGTTTAATAAGATCTAAGCAGTTAGAAATGAATGATCTACTACAGGTAGTCCTCAACTTAATGACCACAATTGAGCCCAACATTTCTGTTGCTAGGTGAGATGGTTGTTAAGTGAACTTTGCCCCATTTTATGACCTTTCTTGCCACAGTTGTTAAGTGAATCACTGCAGTTATTAAGTTAGTAACACAGTTGTTAAGTGAATCTGGCCTCCCCATTGACTTTGCTTGTCAGAAGGTTGCAAAAATGATCATATGATCTCAGAAAACTGCAACCATTATAAATATGAAACAGTTGCCAAGCTTCTGAATTTTGATCACTTGATCATGGAGATTCTACAATGGTTGTAAGTGTGAAAAATGGTCATACGTTACTTTTTTCAGTGTCGTTATAACTTCGAATACCCACTAAAGGAACTATTGTAAGTCAAGGACTACCTGTAATTGTTCTAAGAAAATTGAACTTAAAAAAATAACTTTTGTGGAATAAATATTTAGTGATGATGAAAAAAGAAGAAATTATCATAATATAACAAATAGTAACACATTTCCAGCAGTGAAAACCAGAAAGCAGTTTTTGCTACTAGATCAGCTCTTAACTGAATCAGCAAAAGACGGATCTGCTAGGCAAACAGGACAAAGAAACTGCAAAGTAACTGAGAGGTGAACAAAACTGGAAAATAAATTGTTACTACAAATCTAGACCATCAGAAAGGGGGTTTCAAATGAATATGTTCCAAATTTTTAAACAGAAATTCCCAGAATGAATGATTTCATAAGAAGTGCTAATGGATCTGCACAGTGTGACTATGAAAAGCAAGATTTTCTCTGATACTGAGGTGAATAGATCACAAACAATAACTGGGTGTTAACTGAACAAGCTGAAATTACAGATGCTGTGAACTTTGGACAACTAATAGTGAATGAAGTTATGAAAACCACAAGAATATAATATAGTTCTGATCTTGTGAAGTAGAAGTGTTGCAGCTCACCAATCAGCATATCAATTGGCTAAGAAAATAAAAAGTCAAATGACTGAGTCATAAAGAATATTCCTAACATTAAAGCAAATAACTTTTTGCTTTCTTTGTAATCTTTGTTTCTCCTGCTTGTTTGCCTAAAATTAACCAATATTTGTTTTACAATAGTCTAGGAGCTGGCCAAGAAAAAATAAGTACCTACAAATCTATATAAAGGGAAAAAAATATGTATTAGAAAATTTATAGAAAACAATATAGTAAAAGAATGTTTTAAAAAAGCACAATAGATTAACAACTGGAAAACCATTTGTTAGGTAAGCAGTGGAAAATGTACTGAGAGCAAAATAAATGGTTCAGATACAAATTAGAAAGATTGAAAATTAGAATGCTCCTCTGAAAAGATGAACTACATGATTTTTGGGTCAAAAGTCAAGTCTGACAAGTCTTTACTCCAGGCTAGCACATAGCTGAATGATCTGCAAATAATAAAGAATGGGTGACATCTGGAAGAAATTTCTTGTACAGAAAAGCAAGGAGAGAAAAAAAACCTTTTCCTGACATCTTCAAGCCTATTGCTTGCCTCTTACGACACTCAAATTGTTTACTGAAATTATTCCAAATCTAATATGTAATAATTTGAAATAAATTGTAATATCTCAGTGGAACACGGGGGACTTTTTATCATTCATGTGGCCCCAAAATCAGCTATTGATTGACCCCCCCCCCCCCAAAAACCACACCCTTTGTATGGCCTAGCATAGAAAGGCGTTTGACACATTCTTTCATAGCTGGGTAAAAAAAAATGCTTGAAAGTTTTTGGAACAAGCAGGAACATTTAATTAGATGATTGCCAAAAAATATCAGTGGGTTCTTGAATGTCCTGGGGATAAGAAGACCAATTATCACCATTATTCTTTGTACTGGCAATGTTCCTCTCACAAATAACTGGAACAAAATCAATTCTGGATACCAAGTTAAAGAACAAAGACCAAAAATAATTTATATAGATGATCCAAAAGTATAAGGTAAATCAAAAGTTGAAATCAAGTTAACTTTGTCCATATATTCAGTGAAAACAAATAAATGAAATTTGACTTGGACCTGGCAATTAAAGAAGGCAAAATTATAGAAGAAAAAAGGCTACCACAATGAGTGGAACTATCATTAGACACCTGGCACCTAAAGAAAAATACGTAGGATTAATGGAACCTTCCGATTAATGGCATGACCAAGTTTTTTAAAAAAGCCTTTAAGCTGACATTGTATCACTGAGCAGTGCAAGAGGCTCAGAATAGACCCTGTCTACTTTTCGGGCTGTATAGGATAAGTTGTGGTAGAGAATAGTATTTTCATATTTTAAGATTGATGTCAGCCTTGCAGAGTAAACCAAATAGAAATCACAACCAGATGAGCTCATTTCTACTTTATCATAAAGCTATATTGACATAATCTTGCAAGTCTGAAAATGTACTTCTTTTCCCCCATCTATACAGATTGAGATACTGGAGAGAGTACCTTCTGAGCCTCTTGCCTCATCCACTGTCCAGCTGTGGGCTATGCTATCTCTAGTAGTTCCCTTGACAGTGTCTCTTTGCCTCATACCTTTACAATAAAACAACTTTGGAAGAAAAAAAAACACAGTCTGAATGATTATATCAGGAAATAATGTAAAGGGTTCTCACAAATGAAGGCAAAAGGTTTTCTTTATAGAAGTTGTAAGTATAGGCTCCTGAAACATAAAAAAACCCAAAACAAATTAGAATACAGGAGTAAAAGTAATTCAGTTGGATTGATAACTGGAAAAGCAAACCACTCCATGGCTAGTATATGCATGATACTGAAGGAAAAATTGTCTGGAAAAGCCCATAATTTTTTTCTTGCCAATATTTTTGGAAGTGGTTTGCCATTGCTTTCTTCCTTGGGCTGAGAAAGGGTGACTAACCCAAAGTCATCAAGTTGTTTTGGATCTAAGGAGGATTAGAATCCATAGTTCTAGTTTCCAGCCTGGTGCCTTAAACCACTACACCAAAGTGACTCTCACGCAAGATATTACTTTTATAGAAAGCAAGTGTGATTCATTGATGTGTCAATACTTGCAGGCAGTCAAACTGATGAAAAACAACTGGAGAAAATAACAAAATATCATTTATTGACATTTTGAGATTGAAAGTTTGTGGAAGGAAAAAAATATCATAACATTGTAATTAGAATATTTAATGCAACATTAAATGGGTTCACCAAATATTAGTAATGTTAAACTTACCATTAATTTTTCTAGAGTATTTGCAACAGCATATATTTTATGTTGATACCTCTATGATTCTTAGCTGAAACATGAATCATTGCAATCACTACATAATCAATTAGAACGATAGTTATAAATAATATTGGAATAGCCTCCTGGCTGCTAGCTAGCTAGATAATCCCAAACCAAAAGGAATTTTATATTTACTTGTCTGTTCATTGCAGTACTTTTTGTTCATCTGGAGCTCTGAGCAACGAGTCCAGGTCCAATTTGGCATGCATTCAGGGTAAGGTCTGTTGTTATGGGATTCTGATATCTAATGTGCAAATACAGATTAATTTTAATTGCTAAACATTGGTGGATAAACCTTGAAAGACTAAACTGATAGTTAATAGAACTGACTTTACCTAAATTTTTGTTTTTGTTGATTTCTAGGTGAAGTCGGGATTCTTCCATGAAAGTGATTCCAAAGCTGTGGCTAAATCCATTCGTGATCGTGTCACCCTAATCAAGAAGACTCGAGAGCAAAAGCAGGTGGGAAACCTGGAGGAAAGAAGGGACTCTCAAAGTCAGCTTCCAAGTGGACTGCCATTACTTCAGCCACAAGGCTCATCATTCACTCCACCTTCTCAGCAAAGCAAGGCCGAGTGTGAGGAAACAGAGGTTGATCAACATGCCAGGCAACACATCCTTCAACAAATGCAGCACAGCTTTTCCCTCACTGGTAATGAGCAATCATAAGCGTTTAATACATAATATTATTTATTATTAAATAAATAATAAGGGTATCATTTTGCTCAGGAAATGTCTTACCTGAGGTGTTTGAGCTTTTGGCTCCTTTTTGTTGGTTTATTGAAAGCCGAAAGCCCTTTAGCATATGAACTGTGGTTGCTTTCTGTAGAATTTAATCTTGGCTGAATTGTTAGCTAATATATTAAGGGGAGCTGAAGCTACATTAATAAAGCCATAATAATGATGAATGAATATGTTCATATGTGAGTTTAATGAATTTACATTTTTGAACAGCAATAATAGCTATCCAGAGTAGCTTTTCAGTTACTCATTTAGAAACTTCCCATTACTTTCACAAATTACTTGAAATTTTGCTGGGAAGGAATTTATTTTCAGAACTTTTAAAATGCAATTGTACCTTTCTTTCACCTGAGACAGGGGTGTCAAACTCGATTTCATTGAGGGCCGCATCAAGGTTGTGTTTGACCTCGGGGAGTGGGTAGGCATGGCCAGGATAGGCATGGTCAGCTTGACATCACTCATGTTTGGGGCACCTGTGGTGGACAAGTGCTATGGCAGGACTTCCCTCAGATCCTCCCCCACTCTCATTATAATTTTCCTTCCTTCCTTCCTTCCTTCCTTCCTTCCTTCCTTCCTTCCTTCCTTCCTTCCTTCCTTCCTTCCTTCCTTTCCTTCCCTTCCCTTCCCTTCCCTTCCCTTCCCTTCCCTTCCCTTCTCTTCTTCCTTCCCTCCTCATTCTCTTTCTCTTCTTCCTTCCCCTCTTTCCTTATTTTACCTTCCTTGTTTTCTTCCCATCTTCCCTTCTTTTTTTGTCTTTCCTTTTTCCCTTTCTCCTTTCCTGTCCCTTCTTGCATGCTTTTGCTTTCTCCTTTTGTTTTATTTTTCGTTTGTTTTGCTAGCCATCTGCCAGTTCCGTTTTTGCTGGCAGAGGGCTGCAGGAGTCTGTTGAGGCTGAAAATGGGGCCCAAGCTCCATTTTTTCTGGCAGAGACACTGTGTAACGGTCCTTTGCTTCCAGGGCGGCCCCGTGGGCCAGATCTAAGCATCCCACAGGCAGGATCCACAGGCTTGAGTTCGACACCCCTGACCTAAGATATAGCCAATTGTGATTGCTGAAAATTGCTGCTTCCTTCAGTTGGTTTGTATCTTTTGTCAGATGGCCAAACTTGAATGAGCCATCTTTTCAAACTTGCTAGTCCGTCATTCAGTTCAATACCGGCAACGTAGAGTCATTTTAAATGCTAAGAGTCAATTGGCCTAGTGTTGAAGGCATTAGGCTAGAAACCGGTAGACTCTGAGTTTTAGTTGTGCCTTAGGCATGAAAGCCAGCTGGGTGACCTTGGGCCAGTCACTATCTCCCAGTCCAACCCATCTCACAGGGTTGTTGTGGGGAAAATAAGAGAAAGAATTTAGATTTGCTGATGAGTTATTTATAAAAATAATAAATATTGATAAAAATGTATTTAAATAAAACAAAAATAAATGAGAGTTTAGCAGAGAGAACTGCCTCCCAACAGAAGCTTTAGAAGAAAATTCTATGACGATAAATTGGAGCAGTGAACTAGTGTCATTGTCAAAGCTGAACTCACTGAAAAAACATTTGCAACTTCATAATTTTCCCATTACAAGGGTAAGGACCAGAACACGTTGCTCCCTGGAAGCTGTTGGATCCTGTGGATTTCATGCTGCTCTGAGGAATGTTTTTCTCAAAACTGAAACCACATTAGTGCTTTAGTTAAGATGTGGAATAATGAAGTTTCAGCACTTAATATGAAGGCTCCTAAATTCCTGCTGTCCTGTATTAGTGCCTTGAATGTTCCATGCTTCATACAGGAATTGCATGTTATGAAATGTGAGGACAGAAATGTGCAGGTCCCAAATGAATCCAGCTAGAAAAAAAGGATGCTTATTTATACAGCCTATGTCACAGCAATTAGGCGGATAAAAGTAGTAATTTATCTTCCGCTTGATTACATCCATAGAATCAATAATCCAAGAGAACTCTGATGGTCCAACTACAATAACTGTAGCCAGGGTTCTCATACAAACTGATAGCCACTGTGAGCAGTTTACACAACACAAATCTGAAACATGTTATTCACAAAGTACTGAGCACTTACACAATACTTTGTGAATAACACGTTTCAGATTTGTGTTGGATTTTCCTTCATTTTAGGCAGTATCATATTTAGAATTCTTTTATAACATCAGTTTTGTTGCTTGATCCCTTATAAACAGGGATGGGATCTGACCGGTATAACTACCGGTTCTGTTGCTTTGTGTCGCGCCTGCATGCGCGTGTCGCGTGAGTGCAATTTACAACTTGCTGAGCTGCCCGGACAACTGAGCAGTGCTGCATGTGGGTCCACAGCGGTTGGAAAAGCCCTTTTTTCCTTCTTTTTCAACTGCAGCTGTGCCACACAAAGCAGCTGAGGTTGAAAAAGCAGGAAATAAAGGACAGGTAAGAGCCCGGGCGGATGAGTGGGGCAAAACAGCAGCAGACATAGAACCAGTTCTGTGTCTGCTGCTCTTCAGAGCAACTGGTTCTATAGAGGTGAACAGAACCAGTAGAATCCCGCCCCTGCTTATAAATAAATGAATCCTCAGTTCAATTTATACCGTTACTTGTTTGGTCCCTTCCTAGCTTTGCTTCTAAGGGCTTTTAAGGATTCTTTTAGATTGTTTAAAAAAGGATGATGAAGCAACTTCTTAAGAAGCTTTTATTAGACATTGCTGATTTTAACAACTATGAGCCAGCATCCAGTGTTCCATATCTAGCCAGCCCAGCAGAGAAGGCATTAAAGCCTCTGAAGATTTAGATATAATGGGTCATCTTGAGCCTGAATTTAGACCTACATGTGTCATAGAGATGGCTTTGGTCATTCTCAAATAAATATAACAGTTTTTGATAACTGTACTTATTTAAACAGATTAATTGTGTTAGCTAGAATCACTGTTGTGGCAATTTTTAAAAGAAAGATTTGGCTATTGTTTTCTTTTCCTAAGGAAAAGCTTTCATTTTGTTGTATTCTTTTTGAAGTAAATATTCCATCCATATGTAAAACTGCATTTCCTGACAACCCAAGTGTTTGCCTAAATGAGGCAGAAGGAAGGGAAGTGGTTTGATTTATTCTGAAACAATGAACATTCTGCCATTTTTTTTCTTTTCACACTGACACAGCTGACAACTTGTCTGAGACAGGATCAGGATCAGTTATACTGTCAGATGCCTCTAGCCAACATAATCTGGCATTTTCCTCGGAACACATGATGGGTACTCAACAAGTTCCCAATCTCTCACAAACTGAAAATAGCACTGTTCAAGGACACATATATACTTCTCAACAACTGATGGGGCATTATCAGTCCAATGCAGGGGTAAGAGGCTTATTATATTCTTACTAACATAGTGATTAAGATTATTGTATTAACAAAGTGTCTTTACCTATAGGAAAAAGTGGCAGAACGTGGGGATGGAGTCAAAAGAGGAATCAGCCTAGAATCTCTAGGTAGCCACAAACAGACTAAATCCACCCCCACCCCTTGAATTCTGCCAACCCTTATCTAGTGCAAAATAGTACTAATCTTTAATCATAATCAGTTTAATTGGAACTTCGTATGTTGTCCTCATCTTTCATGCCTGACACTATCCCATAGAGACATGTATGGTGTTTCAGTATGACATTTTTTGGCTCCAAGAAAGGAATAAAGGTGGTAGCTTTGACTAGAGGGGGGCTTTTGCACAGATTCATCATGTGAACCAATTGCACCCTTTCCTAGACTGGAGGTTCATGGTCCCTCATGCCTCAATCACTTCCCATTTGGATTACTGCAATGCATTTTACATGGGGTTGCCCTTGGAATCTAATGGGATGTGCAGGGATGGGCCCCCCTAGTTGTACCCAAATTATACCCTATTGTGCAAGTGTCTCCCAGTTTCCTTCCAGGTGCAATTAAAGGAACTGGTTATTATTTTTAAAACCCTATTATGGCACAGGACCTTTGCCAGATTGCTCTCACTAAGGACATCCTCCTACCAGAACAGGGTGGATATACTCCTAGTACCCTCCCTTAAATATTGCCATCTTATGGTACTTAGGAAATGTGCCTTTTCCTGACAGTCCCTGCCCTTCCCCCTGAAATTTGTTAGACACCCCACCCCATTCTTTTAACTTTCCAAACAGCCTTTAAGACCTGGATTTCCCTCTCAAGTGCTGGCATTAGGGTAAGACCGATCAGATAAACTTCTTGTGGGCTTCATGTCAAATGTAATTATGGTGTCAAATTGTTTTGTTTTTTAAAAATATTTATGGTTTTAATTTTTTATTGTAAACAGATGGTTTTTTTCCTATTGGCTGCCTGGACTTTGGTACAAATGGGTGGTATTATAAATGTTCTAAAAACAGAAAGGCCCAAGAACATATTTTGGTTATTAATTCTGCATCCTAGGAAGATATCTTGTGTTCCCTAGGGAATGTGTGAGAAAAGGCTACAAATAGGGCAGATGAGACCAGGGGAACTGAAGCACAGACAATTGTTTTGTTTTTCTAAGTGAAGCCTGTTAATTATTCTTTATACAGGTGCAGCCGGCCTTGCCAGCAAATATGGCTCATCCCGGTGTTTTACCATTAATCCAGAGTCAGCCTTCTGGTCTACCTACTCACAATTTGGCACTTCCTGCAACTCTCCAAGCCCAAACCTCTCCTCTTGCAGCTCAACAATTCCCATCAAGGATGGTAAGGTTTTTCACTAATAAACTACATTACCGAGCAGATTTTTCAAAGCATCACCAAAAGTCTCCCGTAAGTTCATTTTAACTATCTAAATTTAAAAGGGGAAAGCATTCATAAAATGGAAGCAATCATTGAAGGAAATTATTCAATGGAAGGAAATGATACAACCACAATTGAGTCCAAAATTTCTGTGGCTAAGTGAGACATTTGTTAAGTGAGTTTTGACCGATTTTATGACTTTTCTTGTCACGGTTGTTAAGTGAATCACTGTGGTTGTTAAGTTAGTAACTGGTTGTTGAATGAATCTGGCTTCCCCCTTGACTTTGCTCGTCAGAAGATCGCAAAAAAAAAGACCATGTGACCCCAGGACACTGAACTATCATAAGTATGAGTCAGTTGCCAAGCGTCTGAATTTTGATCATGTGACCATGGGAATGCTGCAATGGTCATAAGTGTGAAAAATGGTCAAAAGTAACTTTTTTCAGTGCTGTTGTAACTTTGAATGGTCACTAAATGAACTGTAATAAGTTGAGGACTACCTATAGTGAATTATTGCTTCTCATTTAAAGCCATGCTACATAGTACAATTTAATGTGTATGTTTTGCCTGATGGCATCTCTCAATAATTGACAGTTTGTAGTAGCAGGGTGAAGGGCATATTTAATTCTCCCTTTTTATTCTCTGCTTTACACTCCAAGCTGTAGTTCCAGAATTATTCTCCTGGATGTAAATAATGTCTAAAACCCTGATGGGAAGAACAAAGAAAATGAAATTGTAAAATTAGGATTCAGGAAAATGCTTAGGTGTGAGGTAAAATGGTTAACTACAGGTAGTTTCAAGTTACAACCAACTGAAGTTCCAAGCCCCCCCAGTCACATGACCACATTTTGGGTTCTCAGAAAGAGGCCTGCATATACGATTTGAAGCATCCCATGATTACATGACCACGATTTGTGACACTTTTGCCAAAATCCAGGGTTTACTTTTGATTTTTCCGGACAATGCCCTATGGAGAAACAATGAGTTTGCTTAATAACTGTGAACTCAGGCTCCATTACAGTCATAAGTCATGTCCCAGCTATTTTTGTATATTATCTGATGATAATATACTTTTATCCAGTTAAATTATGCATCTCTGCATTGTAAAAAGAGGCTTGATCCAAATGGAGGGTCTAACTTCATTAGCAAATACACCTGAGTATCAATTTCATGGCACTAATGATTGTCTCTTTAATAATAACTAAATGATTTTAATGATAAGGACTCTTTTTCTGGTACGTCATAGTCCTATGTATCAGCAGGTGGCAATTTCTAAATGACTTTACTGGGCTCCAAAGATAAGCAGGGTGAACACTGTTTAGTACTTAGAAAGGAATACTAATAATGTAGGTTAAACTGGAAGCACACACCCCCCAAAAAAAAGTTCCCAGAAGAAAGCAGTAGCAAAGAACTTCTCTATTGGTTCCAAGAAAACTATATGGATGTGTCTATGAGATCATTAGGAATTAAGCTTGACTTAAACAAGACTTTATCTTCATAGTATAGTTTTATTTTCTGTAGCCCATAATTTTTGCCCAAAAACTAATTTAATAATTAATCAGATAATAATGAAATATTAGTCCCAATGCGGATATTTAAGAAACCTTATACAGTTATTTGGGAAACAACCATCTGTTCAGATTGTATTTATTTAGATAATCTTGAATCTTGTGATTTGTATTTCCCTTCTAAGATTTAAAGATGGAAATGGCAAAGAATTATGAGAGTGCATTCAATTCAGACTTAGGTCTACTTTAGGGAGACTTGTTTATATTGGTCAAGTCATACTTATTTCACTTGGTGTATTCCAAGTAAAAACAGTCTAGTTTTCATCCATTAAACCTTCATCAATTTATATAATCCCACATCAAGTACCGAATTATGGATTATATGTAAATAAGTATGTTTTTTAAAATAAAAGTATGCTTCCAGGTAGTGCAGTTGGCAGTGAAAAAGGATCTGAAGAACTTAATTATTTCCTTGCCTTTTTCTCTGAACATTTATGTGCCTGAAAGCTTTTCCACTCTCACTTATAAATCTAAAGAGTTATGAAAAGGGTTGTACTTCTGGATGCTATACTGCTGTGTCAGGGTTTGGGGATTAACCCCTAGCAGAGTATTGCAGCAGTAGTCAAGCCAGGCAACCAAAGGAGAGCGGAAGGGCCCCAGAGTATACACACACTGAACACAAACACTGTTTGTAGTTTAAATAGTTTTTAATCCAGTTAGAGTTTAAGCATTGTCATTCAGTCCATTAAGTCATTCACAGTATTTCCATCCAGTAAGACTCACTAGTATAGTCCAAGTTAAGAGTCCTTGCAATATCTTTATCAGCCGATAAAGATATCTTCTCCTCCTCCGGTTTCACTCTCCAGAGAAACAAACGCTGGATATTCAG